GTTGAGATATTAAACAGGAGACACTGTAATACAATGTCTTTAGCCCCTTCAGGAAGATACCTAGCAGAGGAACAGCTGGGTCACATGAAATTGCTAGTTTTAGTTAGCATTTCTCTTATTTGCTTGGTTAACTATTTTTTTCCCTGAAGGTCTTTGATTCTTTTCCTTCCTGCTTTTAGGGGAAGTTCTTGATAGAACTTGAATCAGAACAAAGCATAGTCGATGGGCATTGTGTTTGGGGCTGCCTTGCTCTCCACAACTTCTCTTCTAGGCACAGCCCAAGAGCAAGGGGTCAGGCTGGCTGCAGAAGGCCACAGGCTTGCAGGCATCTGGCATCACTTGAAACCCCCACCCCAGGTGTCTGAGGCCCTTGGTGCTGGTGGGATGGGGTTGCCCCTCCAGCTTGGCGTGACCCCACCCTGTCCTCTATCCTCACCACCCACCACTGCCCCGCACTCGCAGTCCGGCCAGCTGCCACACTGCTGCGGCTTCTCCTTTCAGGCTTCTAGTCCCGTGGTGCTCTGTCCCTCCTGACCGCTTGTCACAACTAAACTACGTCATTTTAACAGCTCCACCTGAATCTGAGTGGCCCCACAGCTAGAGCTGCAGTGTCACCCTCACCGCCTTCGCTCCCAGGCTGCACTTCCTCCATCTGGCTTCTGCCTGGGCTCCAGGCATGGTCACTGGGCATCACCAGTCAGCTCCTGGGCATCACCAGGGCATGATCTTGGCCTTCTCTAAGTTTTCCCTTGCAGATAGATACTTATGTTCTGTGCCCAGGGCTCAGGCAGGTGAAGGAAGCACCCTCGGTTCTCACAGTCCATGGATGCCTGTCCGAACCAGTCAGCAAGGCGGCTCTTTCCTGGAGACTGGGCCCCACCTCAGCCCTCTGTGTCCTGCTGGGCACAGGCAGCTGGCAGAGTGTGGAAATCATTGTGCCCCCTGGAAAGACCCGAGGTCCAAGCTGCATCCCCCCCACCACAGCTCCCCCAGGCTGGACGGCTGAGACTCCCTTCCCTCCTTTGAGGTGTCTTCCCCAGGTAAACAAAAACTTCACGGGGGCCAGGGCTTTGCCTCTGAGCATGTGGGACACAGATAGCACCCACCTGCTGGTGTGGGGCTGGGCTGTGGCCTGGTCAGATGTGGGACCAGGAGCAGGGCTGTGTCCTGGGCCCCCATGCACTGAGCATCAGCCTTGAGTACGAAGCGTCACTAGCCTCCTCCTTCCTCGTGGAAGTTTCTAAAGCCTCCAAAGCGTCTTTCTGTCCAAGCTGCCACCTCTGGCTTTGTGAATTAACCTGCATTTTGAAAGCCCATTATCAACAGGAGCTTTTAAGTTTAAAGAGCACTTTAGGCCCTCAAGTCTAGTAAAGTCCTTTTATGTGCAACACCTGTGTGTGAGCACCTAGCCCTTGCCAGGGCCCTGGCTTTGGCTTGTGCCTGCCCCTTCCTCTGTCTTTCTGGCTTTGTTGGGAACTGGGAGCTTCAGTTCATCTACCCTGCTCTTTCCGCTCAGGTTACTGGGTCTTTGGTGCTTCTGTATGGATTTCAGGATTGTTTTTCCCAGCTCTGTGAGGAACAGCATCACTGTCTTGGTGGGAGCTACACTGAATCAGTGTAGTGAATCAGACCTGGCAACACTGTCATTTAAAGACCTTGCCTCTGCTGGGGCATGAACATGACAGGTCTTCCACCTTCGGTGACCCCAACACTTTCTTCCTTTAGGGTTCTGTTGTCTTCACTGTGGAGGTCTCTCTATCCTCAGTCAGGATTGGTCCTGGATGTTTTAGGGTCTCCTCCTCTTAAAGGCTGAGCATGACCTGTTGTGTGGAGAAGCCATGTTCCCTCTGACCCCACCTCTGCAGGGCACTGCAGGGCTGGGCATGGGGACCTGGCCTGTGCACAGTGAGGTGGACTTGGGCGGTGGAAGTTGGCACTGATGGCTTTGGGAATGGGTGGTCCAGGGTATGGACAAGTGCCATGGCTCTGCCCAAGTCACACTGATGTTATGCATGGCCTTAGTGATACCATGGCTAAAGGGGGCCAAGGGTGATGCTGAGATAGCCCACAGCTTCAACCACAAGCTGTGCGGTGTCCTCCCAGGGCTTGGTGACTCCCAGCTTCCATCCCCACCTGCCAGTGGGTGAGCAGTGCTGGCCCTGCCCCTCCTAGCACCACACAAAAATGAGCAAAGTGTATGTGGAAGTCTCTGTGGTTCACAGCGCTCCCCATGAGTGACCATGTGCTTACGGAAAGACACCTGCTCTACAATGGAGCCGTGGCAGAGGAAAAGGAGTCCTGGGAGACAGCCCATGGGTCTGTCCCTCTCTGTCCCCATGTTTCTCAGCACGTAGGTGTGACCGTCCCAGCCTGGTCACTCTGCACATCACTTTGGTTCTTCACAGTTCCCTGCTGTTGACAACAGCCCAAGCAACCATATCAGAAGTGCCTGGAAGCTTGTTAAAAACAGAGGTGGGTCCCAGAGCCTTCACGAGTCACAGACAAGGGGACCCAGGGTGAGGAACAGCGGGGACTTAGCCCCAGATCCCCCTCTCATAGCAGCTTGGCCCAGGGACGCAGCCTCCTCCCTGGAGAGGTGCCACTGTGGGAACTGAGGGTGACTGCCGGAAAGGCTGTAGGCACACCACCACTGTAAGAATAGGGGGGACCCTAGGGTGTGTTCACGGTGACAGGATGTCCATTACCCTGCTGTAGTCATCATGGGATGGACGCAGTGACCAAAACTTCACCCTGTTCCCAAAATACGTCCCAGTGTAGAAGAGGAGGAGGAGGTGAACAGTATGGTGTCTAAACCTAAAACGCACTGCAGTGAGAGACACCGCTCCACTGATCCCTCAGGTCCTCCCGCTTGCTTCAAGCACGCTGGACCCCTCCTTCATGGACGCTTTCCGAAGCAGCCTAGAGGTCCCTGCCTGTGTCATGAGTTGTGTTACAGTGGCTGCTTCAGTGCCCTGAACTGATTCAAAACCTTTCCTTTTCATGGTGATTTTGGCTTCAGGGAAGTGGCAGAAGTCATGTGGTGACAATGTATCTTTTACAGTAGTAAATTTTTTTCATTTAAACACACATCATATTTTGATCAGCTCTTGTATGTGTCAATCAAAAGTTTCTGAAAAAGCTGCTCAGGCAAGAACTTGTTCTCCGTGGCCACCTCCTGGGTGTGTCTGTGTAAGGGGAACTGGCCGGGCACCAGGGTGCAAGGAGGTGCCACCTCCCCTCGTGTCTCCGGTGTGAGGCCCAAGGCCTGCTCTGAGCCAGGTCGTGCCAGGTGGTGGGGTCACTGAGGCTCAGCGAAAGCAGCCTGCCAGACTGGGTCTTTCCTGGCCTCATTAGTGAGGCGAGGCAGGCATGCCCTGTAATTACCCTGTGTACACCCTGCTTCTGCCTGACACACAGCTGGTGCTGTTGTGAACTGGCATGGGGCTGCATCTGCAGTCTGGAAGCCTGCTCCACCAGCCCACCCAGCTGTGCTCCTGCTGCGGCTCGTGATGGCTGGGTCACGTGGGTGCACATGCACAATATCGGTAGGTGGCACGGACGCTGGACACTGAGCAGCAGAGGGCGTGGCCTGCTTATCGTGGGCCAGAAGCTGCTGGGAGGAAGGGAGCTATTTTCCTTTTTCATTTGGAAAAATGTTAGGAAGCATTCGGTGGGCAGGTTCTGAGATCCTTGAAGCAGAGGACCAGGGAAAAGAGCTCCTTCCTGGACCTGGGATGTGTGCCCGGTTCCTCGCCCAGACTCCGGGCCACTCACATATCCTGATCTGAGGGTGACTTTGTCACGCCTGATGACATAGGATCTGACAGCCCAAGTGTTTTTAAGACTTTTAGAATCTATTTTAGCAATTGGACTGAAATGTACATTGCTTGGAGGTGCAGGAGGCAGTGGGCACAGGGTGGTGGGCAGGAGCCAGAAACAGGGAGCTGAGTTTGGGTCGTGGCTCTGCACTCACAGCCTTGTTGCTGCTGATTCACCTGCCAGGTGGGAGGAGCCTGAGCTTCAAAGCAGGTGTTGGGGGATGGAGCCTATCAAGGAGACTACAGACAAGTTTCCAGCAAAAAGAACCTGGTGTCAGAGCCCCTAGGACACTGAGATGCTGGGATCAGGAAGCAGCAGAAGGGACATGTGTTTTTCTCTCCCTCCCTTGTCGCTAAACTGGAGAGGACAAGGGGTGGCATGATGGTCCCTTTGGTGACATAACGAACCCCCCTGGGCTAGGGCTTCCAGAAGTGCTCATCGACTCCCTTAGGGTTCTGTGTTTCACGAGCACGATGTGTGCCAAGCTGTCCACTGGCCAAGGCTAGCCAGTCCTCTGAGGGTGACCCCTTCTGCCCCCAGCCACACTTTCTCTGACTCTCTACTGCTTCCCAGTTTTCAGGGCCTGCATGCAACCACTTGCATTGTCCAGCATGAGCTCCATTTCCAGCTCATCCATCAGTAATCATGGTTCCAGCCGCACCCCAGTTCCCGCGCCATGGAACCCAGCACACACTTGCATTCTGGGATCAGGATGAGATTGTATTTGGGGCCATTCATGTTTGCTGACCACAGGGAGCAACTTTTTCTGAGGTGACTTGTGTCTTTTGGTCCCTTTCCTTCCAAAAGGACAAAGAAGATTCTAGGCCATCTCCAAAATGCTTAGCACCTCCTACTGTCTTCAAACTTGGATTGAGGTCAGTAGAGAAGTAGGTAAGAAACTGGTGCTGGCTCACCCATGGTGCACGGTATGAACACACCCTCTTGTGCTCCTGGTAGGGTTGGATGGAATTGGTTGGTCTCGAGCCAGGGAGGCCGGACCATTTTCCAGTGGTGGCTTCCTGTAGGGTGTTCCCACCACATCCCCAGCCATGCCTCTTCCTTGTGGACAGGACTTTTTCCAAACCATCTTCTCTGGAGACTCAGCTGCATTCCCAGTGTCAGGAGAGCCCTTCCCAGCACACTTTGTGGTGTCACCTTGGACATGTCCCTGAGGCTCCCATATCCTCTGTAACGAAGTAAGCAGACAAGGTGAACTATTTTTATTTTCCTCAAGGCCTGAGAAAGGAAGTGCCACTGTGGGGTCCCTACTGTGGAGCTGAACCCCTACCCCAAGACCAAGCTTAAGGAACAGCACTGGGACAGCAGGCAGGCACCAGGGTAGAGAGGGAAGGGGCCACTCTCCTTTCCTTGTTCACTCAAGACTCAGGTGGGCCAAGGGCAAAGGTGTCATCTAAGCAGGATTGTGTCCTGACAGCCCCATCTGAGTTCCCAGGAGCAAAGGGCAGGAAGCCTGGGGCAGGGTTCTTCCCACGCACCCATGCACACATGCATGGGAGCACACAAGACGCTTTACCACAGTAAATACTGATACCTCTCCAGGAAGGAGAGGCTCTAGCATGAGGTCTATAGCAATAACCATACGCTGGCCAGGAGTGTCTTAGGCTTTGAAGGGCATCACTGAAGTCTTGATGGTGACCTGCAGATAACCATCCAGCCCGTCAGCACACTCTGACCCCACTCTGAAAGAGGGTGGGGAGGTTGTCTAGGGAGATCGCTGTCTGGTCTACCTGCCCCTTCTCCTGAGCTGCGGTCTTCCTCCCAGTGCCCTGCTCTCCTTCCTCATGCCCAGGACAGCTGGTGTCTCTGCCCTGGCAGAATATCCCACACCATACTCTGACCTGAAGGCAGAAGGAGATGAGATGAAGGACATGAAGATTTTACTGGACGGAGCGTCTTTGGAATGAGGTGCACTGCCAAAGAAGGCTGGGTGGGGTTCCGGGTTAGGGCTAGGGTTAGTGTTGGGGTTAGGGTTAGGGTTAGTGTTGGGGTTAGGGTTAGTGTTGGGGTTAGGATTAGGGTTAGTGTTGGGGTTGGGGTTAGGGTTAGGATTAGCTTGGGAAGCAGCATGACAGGCTCTGCCCAACTCCAGCACAGAGGCTGTGATGCTGGTAACTGGGACTTAGCCACCGCCCTCCGGGTAGAAACAAATGTGCCCTTCCAGCAGTGTCATCACAGCTGACTACTGCCCACTGCAGACTGCTGTGGACTTTGCAAGCTGTATCCATCTAGCGGGGCTACATACCTCCAAGGTCAGGGCCTGCCTCAGTTTCCTTGCTGTGCTCAGGTGTTGGCTAGGAGCCCAACCTGCGGACATGGTAGATGGCTCAGCCCACGTGGTCTGTGTGGGCTTCTGCAGTGGACATGTGTGACTCCCTCTGTGACCACCACTTCAGGCTGCACACAGAACGTTAGTCCTCAAGGCTGTGTGGGGCCCCCTTCTGGTTGCGTTTTCTGGCTTAGTCCTGGTGGCCCTCAGCCCCTGTAACCACTAACCTGACCCCACACTGCTGGTGCATGGATGCCTGAGTCTCCCCTCCTCCTCCCCAGCATCCGGTGTCTCTGGCTGGAAAGCACTGATGCTCTCACCCAGGACATGGGCACAGAGATCATGTGGAGGAAGCAGCCCTGTAGCTGGGGCAGAAGGGTATGTGGCCTGGCTGGGGCGGCGAAGTGCTGGGCTGGCCTGGACGGCTCTCGGAGACTGGACAGTCCCTTCCTCAGCCCTGGGGGTCTCTCCATCTCCCTCAGTCTCCTTCAATCTCTGTCACTTTCTAAGAGGATCCTCACTTTTGTAACTTGCCCAGGCTCAGGGATCCCCCAGACCAGGCTGGCCTGCATAGTGTTCTGGGATTGGATTAGCTGCTCTTCCTGGCTGGCTCCTGGCCTCCAACCAGCTCCTAGCAGCAAGGAGCCCCCATAATCCATTTACTCTGAGCACATAAAGCTTTGGGGGGTACCCTGCTCCAAACTACTATGGTGAGCAGCCCCACACAGAGTGGGGCCCCTGGAAATTCAGCTTTCCAGCATCTGCCACCCTCCCCTGCCTGAGCCCCAGTGGTTCAGGCCTGGCCTCCAACCCTGCCTGGCCCTTAGCCCACCTCAGTGCTGGAGACCTGCCAGGGGTGAGCTGGTCCTCCCCCCCCCCCCACTGCTTTCTTTCCTCTTTGGGGTCTCCTGATGTAGGAGGCTGAGCTACACCCCGAACCCCTCTGTGTCCTTCCCAGAGAAGATCAGTGAGTGGATGGTGTTCACTGGCTTGCTTGACTTTGTAGGCTATGAACATTGACTGGGTGTTCAGATGCAGAAATTTGATTTTTCTTTCTTTTTTTGTGCTGGGGATTGAACTCTGGGCCTCTGAACTAAGCTACAGCCCAGTCCTTGTTTAATTTTGAGACAGGGTTCTACTAAGACATTAAATTGCCCAGGCTGGATGAGAACTTTTTTATTTTTTGGTGCCAGGAATCTAACTCATAACTCATGCTTGCCAAGCAGGTGCTGTGCCACTGAGGAATATCCCTGGCCCTGGGTAGGAACTTTTGATTCTCCTGCCCCAGCTTCCTAGACAGCTGGGATTACACATGTGCACTTCCACCTGGTCCTAGCTGCAAAAATTTGAAGAGAAGGAAGGAAAGGAGGAAGGATGAAAGGGAGGGAGGATCGAAAGGAAGGGAAAGGAAGAAAAAGGGGAGAAAAATCACTTAACATTATTTTTTTAAATTTTAAACTGCACCAAACCATTGGGTGGGCTGAAGGGCCACCTCTCCTGACCTGGGGCAGGACCCAGAGCCTTTTCCTAGGCTGCCCCTACACAAGCTCCAAACCGCCTCCTCCTGGAGGTCAGAAGCGCCCAGTCTCCAGGTGATATTTATTCATGACCACACTTCCCTCCTCCCAGGCTTCATTCTGAAAAGCCCTTCCAGAGTTGTTAACGAACATTTGAAAAGCGGGAGGCCCCGAGCTTTGATCCGGCTGCTTAATTGCCTTTACTAATCACACAGAGATCAAGAGGATGGAAACAGCCCACAGGGGTTGGGTGGGGGAGTTCCAGGCCTCTTGATGCAAGTTTTGGAGGAGGAGGAGGGGAAGGTAATAGACTGGGCTACAGCCTGAGACTTGCCTCACTCAGTGCTCTAATTAACCAGACCAGCCTTCCTTCGCTGCGGACAGTGCCACAGTCTTGGGGTACTGACACACAGACAGGCCGCTTCTCCAGCCCACCGACCCGGCTGCAGGTTGCCTTCCTAGGGGCTCTGCCCCAACCAGGGAGCCTCCTGCTCCATCTCCTCACCTCCTCTTCCCTCCACTCCCCTCCTCTGCTGCAACCCCCCTTGCCCTCCTCTTCTCTGTTTGCCCCCTCTCTGGTTCTCTTGTCTGCTCCTATCTTACTGGTTTTTCTTGAGAAAAACCTGCTGGGCATGCCTGTGTTTGCTGCTGTGGCCCCTGCATTTTATTTGCTTGGCCCCCTCCTCATTTTAGAGCTACCTCTGTCCTTAAACCCCACCTGAGCTCCCCACCCCAGGCTTCAGGGCCAACTCCAGGGCTCACAGCTGACTTCTCAGGGCCTGTATCCTGGCAGGGCGGGTCTGTGGCCTGCTGTGTGGCACCAGGAGCTGCTTTCACAGTGCCCCAGGGCTCTGCAGCCACGCAGCCACCAAGGCTGCCTGTCCTCTCTCCCAGCGGCTGAATGATGGTGCATTCCATCAGGTCTACATCAGAAGCTCAGCAGCAAAGCGATGTCAACACCCAGCTCCCACCTGGGAAGACTCCGATGGCTCCCAGCAGTGTCTACAGTGAGCCTTCTGCTTCAGGTCCAGTGCCCTGGCATTCATCAGGCAGCAAATGCCAGGGTTCTTACTCCTTACCTTGTGCTCTGGAGCCTGGCCAGGCAACAATGTGCTATCCAGGCCGCACCTCCATACCCCAGATGGCATCCATCGCCCAGAGCCAGGACATATCGTCGGCTCCCCTCAGATGGCCAGCGTGGCGCCCATCCTCCCTCTCCTGACCGGGAGAGCATCCCGCCCCAAACCTGACAGAGTCGCACTGGGTCCCAGTCTGTTAGTACCTCCCGTGGCTCCTCCCAGCCCTGTGTGGGGGGCAGGTTCTGTGGCCCTTCTGTTCCCAAGCAGTGACTTTGCTGAGCCTGGTGACCCTCTGTGCATGCAGGCCCTGGCGTTTCTCCACGGGAGCTGCAGTGCATGAGTGTCGCATTCAGGCCCTGGGGGAAAGCTATGCTCATCCTGCGGCCTGGGAGGGCGGCCTGAGGACCCTTTCCTCTTCCCTCTCTTTCCTACCATCTCTCCTTTAGTCTGTTCTTTATTCATATTTTGTGCCTCTTATAGAAACAAAGTCTTGGGATATTTAGCCTTCTGAGTCTGGTTTATTTCACATATTATTATGGTCTTAAAGTACATTCATTTTCCTCCCAATGCCTCAAATGTCTTTCTTTATGGCTGAGTAGTATTCCTCTGTGTGTAACTGTCATTTTTCACATTCATTTGCTGATGGCATTTGAGGCCTGTTCTTACCTATGCTGACCTGTGACTAGATTAGGTGTTTATTTTGGTGTTTTCAATGGATTTTCCATAAATCTTTAGATTCCATAGTTGAATTCAGCAAACATTGGCAAAGCATGTCCTGGGCAACCGGAACTGTGGTTGGTGTCTGGAACACAAAGATGGGTAAGACAGTGCCTTGTCCCCACTACCCAAACCCCCCCACCTCAGACAGACTGGCCACCAACGAGTGCCAAAGCAAAGCTGTGGGAACCACCAAGGAGTGTGTCTCGTGTGCAACATGACAGAACCACACCCAGAAACACACCAAGCCTGCAAACTGACTCCGTCACAGTGGAGCAAACACGAGTGACCTGGACTCTGCGCTTGGGCTTGACACCCGGAGCACATGAGCAAGGAAGCCGCAAACAAATCCTGGAGTCAGGATCAGGTTTGCCTCCTCGGTGGCCCGTGGATGGCCCGGAACCCTCGGGGTCTTCTCCCTGAGCAGGTTGAGCTTGTCCCTCGGAGGGCAGCGGGTCCCTAGTGCGTTCCTCTCTTCACAGCGCCTCCCACCTCCCCACCCCGCAGCACCCACGTGGGCCCCTCTGTGCTGAGTCCCCTGAGTCTGGAGTCAGGTCTGAGATTCGGAATGTTGGGGTGTTGCTCGGTGTGATAAAAAATGAAGTGAACGTTTGAATTTGTAATCTGATTACAGTAAAAGCCACGTGCCTGTGAGTCCCCCTGACACCGCCCTGCACTTCAGACACACTGATTCGTGCTTCTTGTCGCCCTCCGACACAGCTCCGGAGTCCTCTTGCCTGAGTGTTTCCTGTGGCTGCCTTGAAGTCCGGCATGGACTTGAGTGTTCACAGCAGTTTCTGCCAAAGAAGCGGGAAGCTGCAGCCTCACCGTGTTACTTTCGGGATCCGACACTGCAGGCTTCCGGCCGCTCCCCACAGCTGAAGGGACCTTGAAGGGAAGTGTTTGAATGGACTCAGGACACTGAGGCAGGTGTGACGGTGGATCCCCCCTTCCCCTTCCCCTCGGCTCTCCTTTCCTTCCCCTGCCTCCGCCTCCCTTTCCCGCTCTCTCCTCTCCTTCCTGCTCCTGGTCTCAGGAAGGAACCAGCCCAGCTCACAGAACTGGTCTGGCGGCTGTTCGCAGTTGTGGCTGGTCTCACAGGTCTTCGTGGCACGGATGTGGGTGTCCCGGATGTGGGTGTCCTGGGGGAAGACTGGCTTTCTCCCAAGACAAATCTCTCCCTTAGCAGCGAGGGCCACTGGCCCCTCAATTCTTTTTCTTTTCTTTTTTTTTTTTTTTTATTATGTTTGCAGTGCACAATGATTACATTCCTCACGGGGAATTGGCACATGTATGTAACACGTGTTAATTTTCTTTCAGCCCCTTCTCTTTCTCTCTCTTCTCCTCCATCTTAAGCTCCTTCCCATTTACAAAAGACCTATCTCCGTGTTTGCTAATTTGTCTTTATTTATACTTTGGATTTTTCATATAAGAGAAACTATGCAATATGTAAGCTGAGTCTGATTTCTTTCATTGAATATTATGGTCTTAAGGTTTGTCCACTCTCTCACAAGTGACCCAACTCTGTCCTTCTTTACCACAGCGTAGTACTCCACTGTGTGTGATGTTACATTTTCTTGTAACTTCCAAGATGTAACTATTATGAACTGTGCTGCTACGTACATGGGTATAAATGGATCACTGTAATATGATGTCTTTCACTGTTTCGGAAAGAAATCTAGAAGGAGAATAGCTAGGTCAAATGGAATTTCCAGTTCCAGTTTTTTATGTCTCCATACTGGTCTCTATAGTGTTTGTACTAGTTTACATTCCCACCAATATGTAAAAATGTTTCTTTTTCCCTGCAGCCACTCCACCATTTGTTATTTGATTTCTTGACAGTAACATTCTTTCTGGAGTGATCTCTGTATAGTTTTAATGTGCTCTTCTCTAACGGCCACCAATGTTGAGCATTGCTTCTTGCATTTATTTAATCCCCTAAATTCTATCACACAGAACCCCAAGGTCACCAGGGAGGGGCTGTCCAGTGGCAGGAGCAAGAAGAGGCGGGGAGGGCAGCAGGTAGGAGATGCAGGTATCCAGAGTGGAGTGGGCAGGGCAGCCACGGGTCCTGGCTTGGCATAAGGGCACCAGGAGACCTTCTCCCTGCAGCAGTGCAGCCCGGTGTGCAGCAGAGGCTGCGGAGGAGCCCATGGGACTACAAGCTAATCCCAGGGGACTGGCCCCTGGTTACCCAGCGTGGCCCAGTCACAGCAGCATTACCTGGTGGCCAAACACACCTCCCACATACCCTGTCCTTGTGTCTCTCCACCTGGCACCTAATGCCACCATCTCTGTGTGCCCAGTTGCTGTTACCACTGGGCTCTGGCTACCACTGGGTCCTGGGCAGCATCCTGCAGCACAGCTCTGAGAGGCTGGCGCAGACCTAAAGCATCGGGAAAAGGCCACTTGCCCTGGAAGGATGCCAAAGGTCACGTGGCCTCAGGTGGGTGACGAGAGGAAGGGAGTTGAGTTAATTTTCTACTGGCTCAGGGAAAATGAGCATTAACAGAGCTCACCGCAGAGCCTCAGAGACCACACGCAAGAGTGGAGAAGGAAATGGAAGCCTGTCCACTCCCTTGGTTCCTTTCCACCTCTTCCTTCTAGGATGCCACTAGAGAATGAGGCTCTGCTGTCATGATCCTGTAGTTTTCACTGTGGACTGTTTGTCTCGGGTGCTGTTTGATTACCTTAAATGGCCACGGTGTATTTCAGCTCACACGAGGGTGTGTTAGGGTTTATGTAACCTTTTGCTGTGGACTTCACTTTCATCAGAACTTCCATTGTGGGTAACTGGCAGGGTGCTGCGGTCTGGGTTCCCTGAGTGCTTGGACCTGGGTGCTGAGGGAGCCGAAGATGGAAGGGGCAGAGCAGAACGGAGATGTGAGGATTACAGCTCGGGTCTAATGTAGCAGCTATTGTAGGAAGGGCTTCTTGCTGGTTGCTTAATTGAAAAAGCTGTGAGCCCTGAGGGAGACGTTCTAGAAGACACATAAATATCCTGTTTACATTTCAAGCTAATACAAAAGTCAGTCTGTCCTTCCTTCCTTCCGTCCATGCATCCTTGTCTGCCCCATGCTGACTGGAGCTTTTTCCCTTGGTATAAACCACATCAGTGATCAATTGTGGCCTGGGTTCCCTGGAGCCTTGAAACAGGATGGCAGTTTGGAGAGAGTGGGGTGACCAGTGAACCCCCAGAGTATGTAAGGGCTTCTCACTGGGGATCATTTTCCATCTTGAACCACAGGGTGGTCACAGGGTCAAAATTTAAGCTGTGCAATTAAAAATAAGCAGTTTTGAGGGTATTTTATGCCTCCACAGGAACATTTTTACAGACAGAGCACTGTGAGAGCTGAAGCCAGCCGTGGGGTGCCAGTCCCCCCCGAGGTCTGCCTTCTCTCAGGCTTTCCACACTGGGCACTGCAGTGTTCTGTCGAGCACGCCCTGCCGAATCTCCCACAGCTGTCCAACCCGGTTTCTGCAGAAGCAAAGACTCACTCCCTTTGGGGCCTTTTCCTCCACTGAGTCTTGTTCTGTTCCCTGAAGACATGATTTCATCTTAGGGACAAGTGTGGTACCCACTTGGGAAGCATTTGGGGCCTGCCAGCTCCCCTGGCCCTGGCCAAGCTCCACAGAGAAGCGAGGACCACCGAGAATGCTGTCGCCTGGGGTCTCAACTCAGACCCAGAGCTCTGAGGAAGTCTTTGATTAGCAAACAGTCACCCTGTGATTTTTAGTGCACAAATGATGCTATTGCAAGTCAGTTCATTTATTTAGAAAAACAGTATCGACAGAGGCCCCGCCTGCCATAAATTCCCTGTTCACACCCGCCTCCCCAGTTTCCACATGCAGGTGCAGATCCAGAGTTAAACTAGAATGTAACCTTGCTGAGTCACTCTGCCTCAGTTTATCCATCTGTTAAACGGGGACACCAGCACTCCTCTTTCACAAAGAATCACAGTATGTGTTGCTCATTAAAAATGAGGTGCTAATTAGCTTGGCTGAATCAGTGCACACCATGTGAATGTGTTGAAATGTCACACTCAACCCTATTAAATGTGCAATTAGCACAAGTTACTCAAAGCAGACAAACAACAGAATCAGACTAGACCTCACCCAGGTAGCATCCAGGCCCACATGTCTGCACCTGGTAGGATGTCACACTGCACCTGCCCGGGGGAGGGGGGGGGCTGCAGGCCAGGCTGGGTCAGCCCCAGGCTGCAGGGTGCCCTGCCCTATCAGGTCCGCTCTGCCATTCCACTGTGGCCACACAGAGCCTCCCTGCTGTGAGCTCTTCTAGCAGGGCTGGTTCTTGCTGTCACTTCTAATGCATTCCTTCCACCCCAGTGTGGTAGACAGGAGCAGCTGTGGGTGGCTTCAAGGGCCGAGGTGTCAGCCAGGATGGGCACTGCTCCGTACATCTCCCTGGGGGACTCACAGAGCAGTGGAAACTTAAGAATGAGGAAGGAAGAGAGCGAGGAAGAGAGGGAAGGGTCCAGGAACCAGGAGTCCCCTCTGTGTCTCCCTCTGTCTCCCTCTCTCTGTCTTCTTCTGATCTGCCCCTCTTCTCCCTCTCTCTTCTCTCTCTGCAGGTGTGGGGGGTCACCATCTGTGCAAGGTCCAAGCCTAGGCGAGGCAGAGGCCAGTCGGCCTGGAGCCAGAGTCAGCGCCCTGGACACAGCTCCTTCCCATCTGCCCCGTCTGTGTTTTGATGACTAAGTAACCACTTCCTTGAATTCTCCACAACCCCCAACTCCAGGCTGATGCTGTCTACGAGAAAATTTTTGCTTGTGCTTGGCAAAATGAGAAAAAAAAAAGAGTAGACTACAGTGATTTTTAAACATTTTTTTTCAGTACTAGAAACTGAAACTTGTGATCCTCTCACCTCAGCCTCCCAGAGTGCCGAGATTATACCCTGTGCCACCATCCCTGACTTCACACACATTTTAAATTAAAAGAAATGTTCATTCTGCCGTTATGCTGATTCTTGGTATGGAAGAAGCTGTTACCATGTGTGGTACCCCGTCAGGCCCTGGAGACTCTGTGTCTTGACCGTCACCTCTTCTGGGAAGCCTCCTGGATTGATTGCTAAGTAACCACAAGGAATAGAAGCCGTTGGGGTACTGAGGCCTCCCAGAATAGCTGACAGCAGCACCAGAGATGCCTGATGAACTTCTCACACACAGGATCTTCCTTTCCAGAGAGGCCACCTCACCCTCACCAGCACCTGCCAAGAGTCCAGGGGCTTTGGTGGTTCCCATGTCGAGTCGTGAAACATCCCAACTCTAATCTGTCCAGGGAGGCAGCCCCATCGAGAGTCAACACCAGGAGCAGCTGGCAGGGGTGACAGAGGGAGGGCACCGAGTGCCACATCTGTCCCAGAAGGGGCCTTCAGAGAGTGCCGAACCCATCCACAGGAGCAGAATGCAGGTGGGGTGGCCTGAGGAGCAGAGGCCACCGCACCGAAAGTGGAGGGAACGTGACAGGTGCACCAATCAGGGCGGCAAAGGTTGAGGCCTTTTTAAAGAGGTTATTTTTCAGAAGCAAGTAATCAGGGCAACAGGAAGTAGAGTGCAGCTCAAGGTCACCTTCTGACTCTGGTCTCTCATCAGTGTTGGGGGCCCTGCCCGCAAATCTAAGCAAGGCTATGGCATGTGTGGTCTTTACAGGAGCACAGAAAGTAAAATGAGCCTCCTGGGGTGGCCCAATCTTATCTGCCTAACAAGAAGAGAGCAGGACAGGACACACATGGGTAGGCCAGATGAGAACCCAGAGGAAGCCACCATCCGGGAACCTGGGAGTGAGGGCAGCGCAGGAAGAGCCAGGCAGCCACCCTTGGTCCTGGCCCCCTGGCCTATGGGATCCAAGGAAGTGAGCCTGGGTGGTTAGGCCTGAGAAGACGGGTACACGGACATGTACCTACGTACACACACATACAACACACATGCCCCTGTATGCACACAGTCACAAATGCGCTCACATGTTCAGACACACATGTGTACCTACATGCACACATGCTGTTCACACATATACACACACAGTCACAAATGCACTCACAGGTGCAGACATATACACATGTGCATACTCACATACATGATGTGTGTTTGCTCACACATACACACACACATACACACTGAAGCCCAGGAAACAGGTCCAGTGGCTTGAACAGCTACTGAGTAAGTCAGCATGGGCGACAGCCGTGTGTGCGGGGTGAAGTTCTCTCCAGGTCAGATCTTTCAGCCACTGCTTCCTTGCTGCGGGCTGCAAGCGAGGTCTCAACCTCTCCACCCTGCATCTGTGAGCGAGGTAGGGCCTACAGACCTTGTGGTGCTGAAAGGGGTCCTGTTGTGTCAATGTTTGCAAAGGAAAACAGAAAGTATGGAATTTGCTGTTCTGTCTCTCACCAGAGGAGCCTGGTAACACAGACAGGGATCGTGGCTTTCTAGGAGGGACGAAGAGCTGAGATCCCATCACTGCTCTCAAGAGTTCTGACGGAGTCGCTCGTCCCAATCCTGGATGCTATGGCAGATCCAGAAACTTTTGCTCTGTGGCTCCTGTGTGTCCCCACCTAGGAACTACCAGTTAGAAATGTAATAGAAACTAACACTGAGAATGTTTAAAGCTATTAAGTCACCTAAAAATAACAAGAACATTGAGGGCCAGGGTTTCACTCAGCTGCACAAATGCCTGCCTGGCAAGTGCAAGGTCGTGAGTTTGACCCCTGTTACATAGAGAGAGAGAGAGAGAGAGAGAGAGAGAGAGAGAGAGAGAGAGAGAGAGAGAGAGAGAGAGAGAGAAGGGAGGGAGAGAGAGAACGAAACCTACAGATGTAACATAAACACTTTGTGACAGTTATATTTTCCAAAACAAAAATACACTTTACTAAGAAAAATGGTACTGTTTGCCTCTTTTGGGGGATTGAACCTAGGGCTTTTGCACTGAGCTATATCCCCAGTCCTTTTTGTTTTTCACTTTGAGACAAAGTCTCTCTAAGTTCCCCCAGCTGGGCTTAAACTTCCTGTCCTCCTGCCTCAGCTCTCCAGAGACTGGAATCGACAGTTATTTTACATTTTGCAAATTTCTTTCCTGTCACACTTAGTGGGTGCCTATTTGCTTGGTGCTTGTCCAACTTTTGTCAGATGTCATTCTGGTTGCAGAGAGACAGATGTTTTGTGACAGTTATGTGGTTGGGACAGGAAGGACCCTATGGGTCTCCAGAGAGAGCTCAGGAGCACTGGTGTCCAGGAACCTTGTTTAGCACCCCGGATGCAGAGTTTGGGGGGTGCTTAGGAGAGCCCTGGGCTTCAGGGAGCAGGACAGTGGGTGGAGGGGACTCTCCATCCTCCAGACAGCCTGCACCATCAGGCCCCTTCCTGCTTTTCTGGGTGGACGGTGCATAGACGAAGAGCAGCTGAATTCAGTCACTGCAGGGTGAAGTGCTCTGTACAGCCCAGGAAGGGACATAGAGGGGACTCCTGGAGATCTCAGAGAGAGGAGGACGGGAGCTGGGCCAGAGCTCCTGGGCCAGCTCAGAGCTGCCTGGGCTGGCGTCTGTTTCCTGTGTGTTTCCTCCCATGGCCCATACACACTCCACCTACTCAGGGCGCTAGGTGCTGGCCTGCTGTGCTGATGGCTGCGGGCCATGGTGCAATGGGCCTGCCCTGACCACTTGCTGCTTCACCAGCCTGTGGCATGGAGTCTGGGGCACTAAGCCACATGGGGCATGGGGGCTGTCAGCACCACCGGAGGTGGCACACATGGACAGTGCCAGCCCAGGCATGTTGCTCTGCACCCGCCTCCTCTGCATACCTGGTCCACGCACCTGCCGCCCACACCAGGGTTACTCCACAAGGCCTGGGAGTCTGTGGAGAAGGATGACTCGGGGTTTGTTCCAGACAGACAGTGGCAGGGCACAGCCAAAGCCTCTGCCCCCAGAACTGGTAAGATTCACAGCAGGGCCACATGGTGCCCCCTAGGGGCTATGGGCTCTACGCCCTGCCTAATGCATCTTGGTCTCTCCTCTCCTAGGTCAGTGGCCTCAGGATCTCTGCCTTTGCCCTTACTGGACACCACTGAGATTCTGGTTCTCTTCACCTCCTCAGTGCCTCCTGCCAGCTCAGAGCTGCCCGGGCTGGCATCTGTTTCCTGTGTGTTTCCTCCCATGGCCCATACACACTCCACCTACTCAGGGCGCTAGGTGCTGGCCTGCTGTGCTGATGGCTGCGGGCCACAGTGCAATGGGCCTGTCTGTGCCAGACTCCAGGTGCTCCGGTCGTTGCAGCCACCTGAGGCCTTGAGATGCTGGCTCACACCTGGCAGCCTCTTTCCGGTCCAGATGTTGGGGCCAAGAGCTTTGGACTGTGAGTTGCTGCTTGGCGTATTGAGTTCTTTAAAGGGGCAGAACCAACAGATTCTTTAGGGGATGCCTGAAGAGGAATGACTGAAAAACACAATAGCTACATGCTTAAAACGTGTTACTTTACTGACATTGCCACGAATCCGCTCACAGTCCTCCTCCTCGCTTCGAACACGCCTGCTCCGTCGTTCTGCCCCTTGCTGAAGCCGCGCTGCAGTCCTCTCTCCTTTCGTTGCTCCATCCCAGCTGGCCCAGTGCCCTGCACTGGTTCAGAACCATTGTCTTCCATGGCCATTTTAGCCTAGGGGAAGAGCCCGGAGTCTCATGGTGTCAGATCCTGTGAATAAGGTGGGTAAAGAGGCGCCGTGATTTTTAAAAATTTTTATTTTAAAGAGAAAAAAACCCCTCAAAATTTTGGAATAAGATAGTAAGAGGGTAACAGTGGTTAATACACTGCATACTGTTATCTTTAAATTAGTTACTCAGCACAAGATATCAACATTGAATTTTCCAAACAATAATAACCACAAACCTTTCTTTTCAATGAACTAAGAGAAAGTAGTATAGCTTTCTTAACTATCATATATATATATATATATATATATATATACATATATATTTGTTTTTCCCTTCCTTCTTTTTTCCATTCCCCCACCCCAGTTTCTCTTTTGTTTTGAACCTTTTTCCCATTTTACAGTCTCTACTGTACATTTTGGATCTTATTTACTCTTCCAGCTTCTCACACTAGGGAGATAATATGACATTTACACATGTGTGTCTGTTTATTTTAATAATGGTCTTGACTTGCATCCATTTACCTACAAAAGTCTCCAATTTATCCTTCTGTATGGCCAAATAGTACTACATTGGATAAAAAGACCACTTCTATTTTAAGCATTCCTCAGTTAATGGGCATTTGGATTGTTTCCAAGGTTTAGCTATTACAAATTGTGCTGATATAAACATGGGTGCACCTATATCGCTGTGGTATGATGTTTTTAATTCCCCTGTGAAGATACCCAGAAGGGGAATAGATGGGTCAAATGGGACCTCCAATCCTCGTTTTTTTTTTGGGGGGGGCGGTACCAGGAACCGAACTCAGGACCTTATGCTTGCCAGGCAGTTGCCGTGCTGCTGAGCTATATCCCCAGTCCTCCAATCCTAGATTTTTGGGGACTCTATAGATTTTTACAGTGGTTGTACCAGTCTGCATTCTCACACAGTGGATAAGGGTTCCTTTTCCCTTCAGCCCCACTAGCATTTGTTATTGGTTGATTTCTTGATAATAGCCATTCTTTCTGGGGTGAGATGGAATCTCAGTGTTGTTTTAATTTGCACCTCTTGAATGACCAGTGATTATCGGGAACCCAGCCAAAAGTCCTGATTGTCTCTAGGACGCCATGAGAAAAATAAAAAGAGACAAGTATTCCTTCTATGGCTGAAAATCAATGTCTCTGGATCCGACCTCCCCTCCCAAAGCAGCCACTCTTTATTAGCTGTATCCAGTGGTACGTAGGGCTAGCGAAGGATTACCAAAGACTATGACTCCAGAGGGTGTAGATAACCTTATTATTTTTTTTTTTTTGTCTTTTTCGTTTTTATCGGTACCAGGGATCAAACTCACGACTGCCTGCTTGCAAGGCAGGCGCTTATGCCGCTGAGCTAAATCCCCAGCCCCTGATAACCTTATGTTTAATGAAAGGTTTTTGCCCTGGTATAAATTACCCCACCATAAGACAGTTTGCCATCATTTTGTGACAGGTCATAGGGTAAATGGTCGCCATCTTGCTGTCCCTCATCATGGGACAGCAGCAGCCATCTTGTTGCAGGTCACATGATGACCAGATGCCATCTTGTGCTTCCTCATCATTTCACCACCAGCAGCCATCTTGTTGTGGGTTACATGGTAACCAGTCACCGTCTTGTGCTTCCCTGTGCATGGTGATAAGTGACCATTTTATGGTCGATCACCCTGTAATTGCCCACAGATGCCTGCTGAGCAGTTGGCTGATCAGTGGCCATCTACTCCTCCCACTCTACAGCTTTCTCAGCCTCAGCCCTATTACCTGTTTGGGAACAGGCTGTTCCTTTTTTCTCTGCTGACCTATCTCAGATTAACTGTAAATTAGGTTCTTTTTCTGCTATTCTTCTTTCAAGAGATCTCTGTTAATTAAACTACAAAAAAGTTCACACTAGTCTTTATTATAATTTAAATTGGCCAAACACATTTGAGAGCATTCTGATTTTGTAAGATGTTTGTCAGTTTGCTGTGCATCTGCTGTCTGTTTGTCCAGTCTGTTTGTACTGTCCAGATTGTCTGTCCATGTTTGTCCATTTCTCTGCTCTGAAAACAGCTGTTCCTTTTTATTTGATCTCAACAATCTTTTCTCTTTCCCTTTTTCTTTTGCATTTGTAGATCATTTAATCAAGGTTTATTTATTTAAAAAGCATGCTTCCACCTGGGTTGCTAGCTGGTCAAAATGAGATTGGGCAAGACTTCAACTGACCGATAAGAAAGCAGCTGCCTGGTAACTTTAACCAGTTCTTATTCATTAATTAGAGGCCCCAATAATTCCCATAGCCTTATGAGAGACACTCCAACTAAAGTTATAAAAATATACTAAGATTCTTGGTAATACAAAGGTTTTTTATGGTTAAGATAATTCATTATTGCTGATCTTATTGTACACTCAGGCCTTCAAATATAAAGTTGGTATTGTTTATGATGATAAACATCTTCTTTCAGATCCAGACATCTGCCTTTTTCTTGTGCTCCAGCCAAGAGATCCAAGTTAAACAAACACGAGGTCACCAGTCAAATGATAATTTTTAAACAAAAAATTGTGTAATGTCCATTAACAAAAGGACCTAAGAGCCATGTGTTACAATTGCTATAACCTAAAAACAGTTTCTAAACTTAACTGTCAGCCCCACTGCTTATGCTTCGATTGTACAGGCCTTTGAATATATATATTTTGATTATATGTTTTGATTAAAGTTTGTTCTTGCCTAGAAAGCGCCAAACCCCAAGGCATCATACAGATGAAAACAATAACAAATATGCTAATTTCCTTTTAGATTCCTTTAATTGGGATCCACCAGATCTTTTCCAGAAAAAGGTGATATGATGCATATTGGGGCCATAATCAACTGGCCTTGAATGACAGACACCACGGCTTAGCTCTCTCCTAAATAAAAAAGGTAAAATTAATAACACAGGTTATCCTCCAAAATCAGATGGCATTAGACATTCTAACAGCACAGGAGGTACTTATACAACTATAAAACCTAAATGTGTGTATGGCAAATGAATGATATGTCTGTTCCTAGAATTCCCTGGACCTTATCCTTATCCTCATTATGAGAAGCCATTACTAAATTTATACTCATAAGTACCCTGTTGATTCTATTCTATTATTTGGCCCATACATACTTAATTGATTCTTTGCCTTTGTCTCCTCTAGACTTAAAGCTGTGTGCCTACCCAAGATGAAAATGCCTGCTAACTACTGAGGGCCACTATTTGAAAGCTCTGCAGAGTATCCCTGACTGCCATCCAATAACTTCAACCTCTTCAGACTGAATTGGTCATTGCCCATTACCCCTCATGGCAGTTAGGGTTACTTCTTCAGAGGGAAAAATGTTACAGGTAATTGAGTTAGTTAAAAATATTGTAGGCAGTCAGACAGGACTAGGGCCTCATAGGAGCCAGCACAGAGGACCAGATGTTTTGTGACGATGGAGGAGACAGATACCTTCCACTGTGGGCCAGATCCCAAGACAGAAGGCTAAACTCAGCCCTTAAATTCCTTAGGGAGACCTTTTTGTATTTTCAACAGCAGAGATAAAACTCAAAAGGAAATATCAATTAGCATTAGCACTTGGGGCTCCTAAAATAGGTAAACCAAAACAAGGCAGAGCTGCCCAAGACCTCCCCCCTCCAACCATGCTTCAAATGCAACAAGAAAGGACCCTGGGTGAGAGAGTGCCCCTGCTCATGAGTTCCTCTGGAGCTCTGTCCTCTCTGTAATCTCAAGGGTCACTGAAAGAGTGACTGTCTTAGCTGCCAGAGAGTGGATAAGCCATCCTCTAACTCCCTGCTCTCACATGTGATCTCGTTACCACCAGATTCATCGCAAATTGATCTACTTGGACCTGCTCCTGAAGACCGATGGGGCTCAGGGACCACAGACCCCATTAAGGTATCCTTCTCAGAGCCCCAAGTCCCACTGGAGGTTTCAGGTAAGACAGTCTCTGTACTTGTGGACATACAGGCCATGTATAGGATTCTTCTTGAGTTTTCAAGCCATTATATTAAATCCTCAGTCTCTGTCACTTTTGGCTGTAGTGGCACCAATGGCATCAAACACAGCCTAGAAAATGACAGAGTGAGCTAACTATTAATTTACTATTTTTAATCATATGAACTAGATTTGTGGTTATATAATAGAGTCTAAACAAACTAGAAATGTATATATAGTGTACAAGTCATCAGTATGCCGATTTTCCCTCAGAGGTTAAAATTTAAAATGAGTTAAGAACAGAATAGAGAAGTAGAGGAAGAGAAAGAGATCAGAAGTAAGGTTGGGGAACAAAGGGAGATCACACTAAGCTTGGGGAATTGCTGCTGAAGACAGGAGGGAAAAAGAGAAGAAAGACATAAAAAGAAAAACATACTAGAACAACAACCACCAAGAGGCTAAAACAGACTCATGTAAAAGTAAGATCAAACAATGGAGGGAAAACCAAAGACTAAATCACCACCACTATAACAAAAAACAACATGGAGAGAGGAAAAAACAGACAAGAAGAGAATAGAAAAAGTCCGCTTCCAGGATTGTTTCTGCTTTCACTGATAGACAGTGTGTGACAACAGAGTCCTGATCCATTGCTGTCCAGCCCAGCAAGCCAGAAGAAGCTTTTTATTGGGGCAGTGGATAGTCTCAGTGAGCCTGCACTTTCTGGCTAAGATCAGACTCATGCGGCCTGCAGCTCTCTGCACACCTTCTGTGGTCCTGAGTCCGGATGGGAGCCGCTAGATGGAGCCAGCAGCAGCTCTGAGTTCTGAGGTCAGCCAGCCCCTCTCTTAGATGGTCCCAGGCCAATTGTTCTCTCACTACAGGGTGACTGAGCCTTCAGCACTCTCTGCCAGCCAATGCAGTCCTTCATACCCACTACTGCCCCTGTCTGCAGAGGCCGCTGAGGTCCCAGCCATTCCCGTGTGTGCCCAAGTTTGAACTGCTCCCAAGCTGAGTGTGCGTTTGCGAGATGGTGCAGGTGGCTCCTTCTTTTTTGCTGAAATTTTTCTCTTCATTCTCGTCATGGGCTTCAATTCTCACTTTGGTTCCTTTGTGGGTCCAGGGGACCCACTTCCCTTCACTTTGTCTTCTCATGTTGCTATATTCCAGTGTCTGGACAGCAACTCTCTGAGAGGATCTTTCTCTGCTGCTTATTCCTCCACCGTCTTGGTCTCCCCCGACACCATCGTGTTTTACAAGCACTCAGCCACAGGCACACCCGTGTAATGTGTCCACACCCATTACAGACACCAGTGCTCCAGTGGCTTTGGATCCTGAAGTGCACAGTTCTTCTTTGCAGTGGCTGGGGACACATAGCCTGGACCTCCCTACTCCTCCAGCTGGGTCCTTCCACAGGACCTTACCTCTTTGGTCAGTTTTTAGGCCATCTGATGACCATTACAACTTTCCCCTAAAATTTGCTTCCAAACAATAAAAAACATAAGGATTGGCTTATACTCTCATGGAGTTTCACACACACACACACACACACACACACACACACACACACGCCAGCTATGATGTCACTGGGGATAGGAGACTTTAGCATCACTGCAGACTGATGAGACCATTGTCATACCTGTGATCTGTCACTAACCTTATGTCATTGGGTGGCAGATGACCACCTTATGTATAATACTTATCTCCAGGTAAGATGGGTACAGGCCCTTGCAGTCCACCCAAAGGAAGGACGTTTGCTTTCCAGGCTTTGCCTCTTAAACTTCAGGTACCCACTTTGATCCAAATAGGGATGATGGAGACACCCAGTGTTGGCAGTGAAGAGCCCTCTCGGTGACCTGGGGCCACAGGGCCCAGAGGAGGAATGACATCCTGAAGACTTCTCTCCTTTCACCCCACCCTGTCCTCTCTTAGGTGACCCAAGGGCAGAAGTGAGAAACTGAGCAGACACAACTGTTGCTTTGCTGATGCAGAGGTAAATACTGACAGAACTTCAGCTGCTAATCAATATCTACCTTAAGGGACAGGACACCCAGACTTCAGATCTGGGACATGTGCCCCCATCTCCAGACTCCCACATGACCCAGGCATCGGGCCATTCCAGCCAAAGTCCCCTGGAAGTGGCTGGCAATGAGCTGCACCCGGTGTGCCTATGTCCATACACCTGTCCTGGTTTGTGACAATGGCTTTGTGTGCACAGAACCTCAGTGCACAGAGCTGGCTTAGGCTCTCCCCAGGAGGTCAGGCCCTGGCTTGGCACACCAGCTTCTTACTGCGGGGCAGACCTGATATTCACAAAGGTGGTGCCCACTGCTTAGACAGAGGAGCCATGACAGGCACAGAGGCTTAAGGAAAGATGACCACAGAAAAGAAACCACAAGCTGAAAGTGGACAATTCTACCCACAAAATATCCTGTCCCTGTGCATTGGGAAAAGAGGGACATTGTTTGGCATTGACAGGGGCTGCACCCACCCCCAGCTGCTTCTGGTGTGCCCATGGACACAGCAGCAGAGGGTGGGACCTTTAGGAGGTGGTTCCGTCATGAGGCTCTGCCCTTGTCCGTGGGTCAGGACTGTTATCTTGGGAGTGGGTTCCATACCAGAGGGTGGGTTGTCCCCCCAAAAGATGCACTCGCAGCAAGGAGGCTCTTCCAGATGCAGCCCCTGGACTTCCAGCTTCCAGAACTGTGTGCCCAGAGATTCCTGCTCCTTATGCATCCCCCCAGTCTGTGGCCAAATTGGAAGCAGATAGGGGCTGAGCAGACTGGAGAGCTTCCCTTGCAGGCCGTGGGAAGTGAGCTCTGGCCCTCACCCTCTTCTTATACCTCTTCTTGCAGTCTTCCTCAGCAAGAGGTGCTGTCCTGGCCCAAGTCTCACCCTGCTAAGGCACAGCCCATTCAGCAGACCCTGACTGTGGGTTGCAGGCTGGGTCTCCTGCCTCTGGCAGTTCCCACTCCCCAGGTCCTGGCTGCACCCAGTTCCACTCCCCTCTGCTCTCTCCTGCTCATGGAGGTGTTCTGGAGCCCTGCAGCCTCTCTGTGTTCCACACAGGCTGTTGCTGGGACCTCGGAGAGGAGAGCAAGGGATCTGCAGGGAGAAGGAGTGGACAGATAGTGCTGGAGACGGGAATCGAGTTTTCCTTATTAAAGGGCCCTGGTAACTCCTGCTGTTGGATACTACATGGCTTATGGTTCTCTTTTTAGTGAATAAAGGAAAGAATTAGTGACCTGTTAAGAAGAAGAAGAAAAGATGTATATTCTGCAGGAAACTCTTTTTAAGTTCTTTGGTTTGTTCCACTCACCTTTTCCTTCTCAATAATATGACTAAATCCCCAAGGTCCCACAGCCAGAGAGGCTCTCCTGGGGGTTGTGATGGCTACAGGTGAAGCCATTGGGGTGTGGAGCTCATCACACCTGAGGCCAGGGCTGGAGCCAGGTGATGGCCTCCAGGACTGAAGGTGAGGAGTGGGTGGTAGTGACCTAAAGGTGTCAGAGTGGGGGGACGTCACGGGAGAGCATTCAGGGGCACTGTCCATGTCATTAAGGGCTCTTCTCAGACTCAGCACACAAGCCTGTCTCCAGGTCTTCACGTCCCAGTTTCTGAGGAAGAGGAAGACGTTGGTCTCTTGGATCAGGACCACCTCTCACCATGACCACACGCACACTTGAGCATGAAGAAAAGTCCACCAGGGCAGCAGTGGGCTCTGACCACACAGTGTGTGTGTGTGTGTGTGTGTGTGTGTGTGTGTGTGTGTGTGTGTGTGCAAAAGAGGCAAAGAGGAAGCACCCATAGAAATCAATAGCAGCCAAAGTACTTGCACACCAGTGCCATCCTCTGGATGAACCCAGACGTGGTGGCACACAAATGGCTGAATTCTAAGAGCTGGTTGATGAGCACAGTGTGGCTGGTCACCCCCTGACAGGCACAGGGCACTGAGCTGGCTGGGAGGAGGTGACACAAAGATGCCCAGGAAGGCAGCTGACAGCTTGGTCCACACAGAGCCCAGTGGGAAACACTCCCAGGCTGTGGTGAGAAGTAGACCCCACAGGCCGTGCTGTGCAGGGCGAGGCCTGGGCTTGAGTCACCTGTGTGGGGCCTCGGGGCTCAGGCCCCACCAACAGGTCTGGCTCAGGTCTGGCCATCTCCACCTACAGCAGTTGAATTCAGCTACCTCCTGGTCCACAACACAGGATAAGAGAGGGCATTGTCCCAGTGGTTTTCAGTACGACCTGCCTGAGGGATTTTATCGTCACTGTCAGCACTGCTGATCGCCTCTGTGGACTCCCACTTCTGTCTGAAATCTGCTGGTACCCAATGATCTTCAGTCCCTTTCCGCTCTGTTGTACCACAAAGATGATTGATTAGACCAGTTTCCGGTTTCCATGGTGATGAGGTTGCTATGGTAACACCTCAATTAAAGCTGGCTTGGGCCAGGCCACGGAGAGAGATCTGCTCTCTCCGCATGCGCAAGCAGCCCTGTGCTGTCTGGGGAAGGCACGGGGCTGGGAAGGTTTGGGGACTTGTGCTTTCCTTCCTACCTTTGTCTGAGCCCGAGTAGTTCCTCTGTGTGAGTCCTGATGCTACCTGCTTCCAAAGATTGTGGTGAAGAGTCAGTGAGGTGGCTTATTTATTTATGTATTTCACAATAAGTGAGATCTCAGCCGTTTGCTGAGACAGGGTCTTGCTAGAGACAGAGTTTTGCTAGAGACAAGGTTTTGCTAAGTTCCCTAGGATGAGTTTGAACTTACGATTCTCACGCTGTTGACTCCTAGAATGTTGAGATCACAGAGCCACACCCCAAACCAGGCTAGAGATGGTGCCTCTGAAGCCAGTGAAAAGCTGCATGTTCAGAAGTCTATTTGGTGCTCTGGTCCTGGTAGGGCTGCTCCTCAGAACTCTCGCAGTTTCCCAGACGGCAGCTCTAGCTTATCCCTCTCAGATCTGACTTTCCACTGGAGGTTTTTGATGAAGCACTTTTATTAAGCATCTAGGGGCAGCACTGATCCTTTCCCAAAGTTGGAGACCGCAGGCAGCAGCTCGCTAACTTCCCAAGCCATTCCCCAACCCTTGGAAAGCAGCCTGGGCCACTCCTTAATAAATAATGCAGCTCTGCAGTTATACTGTTAATGATGTGATCTTTACTACCGTATTTGCAAACCAAAGCACTTGCCGGGAGTACAGATTTGGGCCTGTTGCTGTGAAGATGGAATTGATATTTAAATCAGGAGACACAGATCAGGAGAGAACAGCAAATCACGCGTCCTGAAGAGGGTCCTTCGTCCAATCAGGTGAAGGCTTCAGGAGGAAAGAGCCCAACCCAGCATACCTCTAGAGCACAGCGAGCCTAGTCCCACAGCCTGCCCTTTGGGCCTCAGACTTGCAGCAACCCAGTGTGGGAGCAAGTGTCCTCGCCCTCTGTCCCTTCCTCTCTTCTCCCTCTCCGTCTCTCTCTTGTTTATCCCAAAGACCTATTTCTCTGTTGTGCGTGCCTACCTGCCTGTGTGGGTGCGTGTGGTACTGGAGAGTGAATCCAGGTGTTTCACACAGAGCTACACCCTAGCACATTTTAACTTTTTATTTGGAAACACAGTCTCACTAAGCTACTAAGTTGCTCAGGCTGAACTAGAACTGGGGTCCTCCTGCCTCGGCCTCCCAGAGTGTTGGGATTATAGCCTATACCCTATCCCCAACTGGCTGCAGAGCCTTCTGAGACTGTAGAAAATGTGGGGAGGGACCAACGCAGGGCACAGAGCTGTGAGAATTGAGTGCTAATGAGGTCTGGGAAAATATGCAGCAGCTTGGTCCTTCGCAGTGATTTTTCTGGGTTTGAAAAGTGCAATTATTTTGTACATGGTGACTTCACAGAGCCATTTTATAAACAGTGATTCTCCTGTTTATTTGCGGAGGGGTCTCAGATGTTTGAACATCTGAGTAGTCTGATAGGCACAGTCCTCATGCATGAAGGCACTGAGTCCTTGAATTTGGAAAGCATTGGGCCTAGGGGCTTCTGCATCTCCTGGAAAGGAGCCGAGGCCAGAGACCCCGGAGCACAGTAGATAACAGGACAGAGAGTCTGCTGGTCCCTGCAGGCTTGCCCCATGGGGCAGCATCACTTTGTATTTCCAGTCTGGACTTGGGGACCCTGGCTCAGGGCTTTGTAGGAGCTGCCCTGGGGAAGTCCGCAGCATGCAGTGCACGCATCCTGCGCCTCCCGGGTCGGGCCCTGTCTCCTCTCTCTGGCCTCAATCGATGATTGCTCCAACCCAGTGAAGGATGTAATGCCTTGAACCAGAGCTCAGGGCCAAGGGAAGAAGGCAGAGCTTAGGGTCTCATGCCCCCCCACCCTCCCACCCCCCTCCACCCCCTGCCACGCCGGCCGCACTGACAGCACCACTCGCAGCACCCAGATTGCTGCGTGAGAAACAGCAGAAGACGGAGCTGATCGCTCATCCAGCGGGCGCCGGACACCATTCCCACGTGTGACCTGCAGCGGCCCATTAGCTTTTGGATACCAAGTCTGCGAAATCCCCTTGTATTTTCCTGTTACAGTACATCTCAGTCAGATGCTCAGCACCAGACACGGACGTGACGGTAGGGCCTCCCGGACAAAGAGGATACTCTTAAAGGGAAAAGAATTTACACCTTTTAAATCGACCAGAGGTAAAAATGTGCGTTCCAGTCCCCCGACCAGGTGGACTCCGCCTGGTGTGAGTGGCCCCTAGTGGCCATGCCTGGCAGTGCAGGGTCGTGCCCAGGACCTGGGGACTGTTTGAAATGAATTGAGTTTCTGGTCTCGGAAGAGGAAGACAAAAGGCACGCGCTTGTTCAAGACCTCTGTGTCATCCTGTTCTTCACATTCTACCGGCCAGAGCCACCCGCTGGACAGGCCAGCGCGGGGGTGGGGGAGGGCGCACAGCCATGTGACCAAGGCGAGCTGCGGAGTCCGGCCATGTGGAGGGCGGGGGCGCAGCATCGGGCCCTCGGGAAGGTCAGGCAGGGCGGAGGAATCTTGTGTTGGTGCAGTCAAATGAACATTCTGTGTGTGTGTGTGTGTGTGTGTGTGTGTGTGTGTGTGTGTGCGCGCGCGCCTTTCACCTTTTGACTTAGAAGTTTTGTTGAAGTCCTTCCCTACCTTCAGGGTCACAAAGGCATTCTGAAATTTCTTCCATGAGTCCCTGACTTCATACTTAAATTTTCCCTTCATTTCAGCAATGTACTTCTCCTCTTCTCCAGAAGATTCAATTTAAATTCATGACATTACTTACACTTTAATTTCTCAGTTTATTCTTAGGGAGAGATTTTGCTTCTCACAGACAAAGTTATTTTTCTCTGGAAAAAGACTGGTAGAGTTTATACAGGAAATTAGAGAGTGTGTTCAGAGCTGTCCTGGAGTGACCTTGCTATGACACAATGAATGAGTTAAAAATTGATTTCTAACAGTGCTTGAGGAATCATTACACTTGCCATTTTGTTCTGTTTGAGGTTAGCTCTATTATGAGAACTAAAAATAATTCCAATTTACTTTGCATCTTGTGTCCTGGAAAGAAGATTTCATGGCCCAAATGCAAAACATAATGAAAATAAAGCATTCCCAACTCTAATTGCAGAAACTTAATTGATCGCAATAATAACTAGGATGCAGCCTCCCTTCCTGGGTCTGGGTGGTTTCACTGCATGCACTGAACACACTGATTTCTGTTGTTTCCTCTTTCTTCTTGCCTTACCATCCCCTTCCCCATTTACACTAATTTTGAAAAACAGAATTTTGAGTGAGCAGATATCTGAGTAAGCGGATTTTACTTTTGGTAATTTACCAAATTTAATTGCCGTGCAACACATGTATAGAGAAATATGCACACCCTGAGCTCAAAGCTCAGCACATTACACAGAAGTGGATATTACCATCATCTCAGAGATCACACAGGCCCCTTCCGGCCTTCTCCTTTTGCTGAGACAGCCCTGCTCTGTCTTTCTGCAGCCTATATTAGTGCTGTCTATTGAGTTAGTGACTTCATGGGTGTGCAGGTGTGTACTGGTTGTCATTCGTCTGCATTACTGTGTGCTGGTCCATGGTCCATCCAGTCAAATCGACCAATCCATTCTATCACATATATGCTGCTGGGACGCTCTGAGACATGTATTTTGTACATGAATTTGTGTACCTTTCTATTGGTATGCACCTGGGAGTTCCCCTGCCAGATGCTCTAGAAGGTAGACACTCAACGTGGTTGTGCCGACTCAAACTCC